GTTAAAATTCCGCGCCCCTTGTTAAAGTGTGCACAGTATTCCCAATATTCTCAATATACTCTCAATATATTCTCAATATACTCTCAATAAACTGCGTAATATCTAATATTTTCTACGTAATATTTTACAATATTTCTACGTAATATTTTCCAATATTTTCTACGTAATATTTTCCAATATTTCCAATATTTCAATATTCCTAATATTCCTAATATTCCTATATAATATCGAATATTCCCAAGAACCTCATATATTCCCAAGAACCTCATATATTCAGTCAGATCCAAGCTAAAAGCATTATACATATTCATGAGCATCATAACAAAAAGAGTATTATCAATCATTGATCAACCAAGTTAATCGGATAAAAGTAACAAGGAGATTGACCAAGATAGACCTAATATTTAAAGTTTTAAAGAAGAATTAAGATTAAAGTTTTAAAGAAGAATTAAGATGAATCATAATTAGTCATTTTATATAATCATATGGAAAAAAGTATTTTAAAGACTATTTTGTACGTAAAAGTATTATCTAGAATTGTGTAACTTTTGAGAAGATAAAATAAATTCTCTTGAAAGAGGTAAATGATGGTACGTCGATCATATCGAAAACAATATAACCTTAACTACACATTGTAAGTTTTTTTTAATAGTAGGCATTCGTTTGAAGAGAAGATCTTTTGCCATAAAAGAACAACAATCGGAAATTGACAAGGGAGTACCATGAATGATCATGAATGATGAAAATCCAAAATTTCCTTTGTACCAGGGAACTATGATACCAAAATATCCAATATTAACCAATATCATCCAATATTAACCAATATTATCCGATATTTGTTAAATATTTGTTAAGTATATGTATAAATATATCACTACGATATATTGCTATATATGGAGAATGATTGAAAAATACTTTTTTTAGAAGGTAATTTCCATAGTACAGTACGTACAGTACGCACTGTACGTACGTACGTACGTACGTAGAATGAATAGCATTATTATCCCTGGGAGAATAAGAGAGTCGGGGTATCAAGTTCGGGAACTAGATCTTGATCGTGTGATGCGGCATTGGACAACATTGGACAGAAACTCAAAAGGAGTATTGTTGAAAAACAAGATCAACTACACGAAAGGAATTACACAGTATTGTTCCGGCTAGAGTGCTATAAACTTTTGGGGATGTACAATTGTTTGAAGTGTATCACACTGTGAATTTAATTTTAGAAAGTACAAAATGAAAGTTTGTGTGATACAGAAAAGTACGTACGTACGTACGTACGTACTTGAATAATGAAATAGTATAATGAAATAGTAATAGTATAATTATAGTATAATTAATAGTAAGTTGATAGATAATGTAGTTCTTCACCTTTTGAATCAGAATTTTCTTGTTTTTTGAATCAAATTTGGAAATTTGTTTATTTCGAAACATGCTTTTTGAAACAAATTTGAGATTTTACTTTATTGACAATTAAAAGGAGATAAAGACCGGGTAAATCATATTCCGGAGCACCAAATTCACCGAATCAACAAACTAGAGATGAAATCAATTCTACGTAACTTAGGTATCAATACCTGGTATGTAAATAGTATGTATGTAAATACGTAAATTAAATGACTAAAATAATTAAAATAATTAGGAATAGTGGTCATAGCAACAAACGTCGATTTTTTTTTAATGACCAAATGAAACAACTCTAATAAGCATAGGTATTTACGGGAAACTATTCCGGATATTGATTAGCAAAAATTATTTCGGAAGGCAGAAACGGGCAGATGATTTACATTATGTAATGCGTATTACTGTATTAATGGAATTTCCGACAACAGTTAAGAGATGTATCGGTGCAATAATTGCATTTTCCGGAGTAGGTTAAATATATACTAGTCTATATAGTTTATTTTATTCTTTTTATTATATATTAATGTTAACCATTTTTTAATTATTAACTAGTATTAGCTAGTATTAAATGTTGTTATTCTGTTATTATGTTATTATTATGTTATTATTATGCTATTATTATGTTATTATATGTTCTTATATGTTATTATTATGTTATTATTATGTTGTTATTATGTTATTATTAATGTTAAACATTTTATATAACTTTTCATGTAAATGTATACAGTAAAAAAATAAATGTATCAACAAAAAAAAGAAACAAGGAAAAAAAGATCATTCGTTATACTTAAATTTACTACGTAACTGCTAATTTATTAATTTATCAATTTATATTCTATATAATTTACATATTAATTTACTAATTTATCAATTTATATACTAATTTACATACTAATTTACTAATTTACTAATTATAGAATTTATTATTGAAACATGTTTCTACGTACCTTTCTACGTACACGTCTTTGATATGTAAAACAATAAGTAAAACCATAAATTTAATACGTACGTAATGTATTAACTTTAAACTAAATATTTAAACTAAATATATTATAAATGCTAATATTCTACGACAAGGTAATGAAATATTACATAACATTAATAGAGTATTAATAAAAAGATTATATAATGAATGAATCATATTTTGTTTATTCACCAATCCAAAGATGGATTAAATTTCACATGGAATTAAGGCTTTTCATATTGTTAGAAAATAAATATCAGATATAAAAAAGGTTAAATTCCTAACACTAAGGTCAAAATATTTCATAACAAATAGAAAAAAGAACTTTTATGGTGAACAACCTGAATTTGGAATTGGAATGTTACCTATTACTTTATTGATGTTACCCATTACTTTATTGTCTTTAGTTGCAAAACCGTGACTTACTCACGTTTGGTCATTCGGGACGTACGGGCTATACCGGTATATATACATATCGATATATCGATATAGACGTACGTATTAAGCCTACGTATCGATATTACTAAATTTAAAATATACGTTTTATATTTATATTTATTTTTATATATAGTTAATATATGCTGATGTCAATCTTTAATACGTATAATATAAACTGTAGAATGTTCAATATAGAATATAGAATATAGAATATAGAATATATAATATATGATGTATATAATGTATATAATGTCAAATATGTATAATGGACTTTCATTTCCCGCCTATGACTGTAAAAAATACAGAAATAGTAAATTGGTGGACTGTGCCATTCTGTATTTAATGTGTGGGGTAATATTTCAAATGTCATGTGTTTATGATTACGCTGAATATTATGTTGAATATTACGTTAAGTACGTATTACGTTGGTTATTATTGTTGGGGAGAAATCTTATGAAATTTATAAAATAAATTTATGAAATAAAATTTTTTTTTTCACATAATTCCGAAACAAAGCCCACTAGACTTTTTGTTTCTAACCTTTCATGTTATAAAAAATTATTTCATTTGTATATTGTTCATAATATTCTTTTTAGAAGTAAATGATTCCTACGTATCATTGAATTCATCAGCTTACTTATCATCTGCTATACATGCATGCGGTATATTGATATGTAAATGCGTACGTACGTACGTGGATACATAGGATTCTATAAATGTTGTATAAATGTTACGTACTATGAATGATATAAATGATATAAATGATATAAATGATGTTTAATGCTAGATGCTGTATATATATATGCTATGTAACGCTATATATGTAAGTTATGTATATATGTAAGTTGTGTATGTATGTAAGTTGTATATATATGTTAGTTGTGTATGTATGTAAGTTGTATATATATCAAATATGTAAGTTGTGTATATATCAGATATGTATGTAAGAAGTGTATATGCTATATAATATCTATCATCCAAACTCGTATATATACATACATGATAGAACGTATAAAGGCAGACAGGATGGTTGGTGGGAAAAAAAAGCTCGGAATAGAATAAAATAAATAAATAATAAATAAAAATTTTCGTAAAGTTCAATCACGAGGTCTATTTAGTCGAAACACAGAATCCAATAGAATCAAAAATATATTTCTCTAATATATTTCTAAAATATTTCTAATAGTTAGCCGAATCATCTACTAAAATAAAGGTAATACACGATTTAAAAAATAAACGATTGTAATTCATCAAGGAAAATCTCTTCCATTTAAATAAAACCCTTACATAGCTCGGTTAAAATTACATTATAGTTTTAGGCGTAGTAATTTAGTAATTTCTGTCATCATGCGTACTTAGGTCGGCGTAGTACTGTAATAGCTGTAGTAGCAAACGTTTTATCACGCCACGTATCTTCTTATTTCTTCCGTAGCCGCAGTTTAGCATTTCAATCTTTATGCAGTAAAGATATGCGGAGCTGGCTGTAAGTAATGAATTTTTCATAACATCGATGCGTTAAAGATCTGTTAGTGTCTGTTAGTGTCTGTTAGTGTCTGTTAGTGTCTGTTAGTGTCTGTTAGTGTCTGTTAGTGTCTGTTAGTGTACGTAGAGAAAATATAGAAAAATTTGTTTTATATAAAACATATGTAATATATTATAAAAGGAAAAGATTAATTCTTTTTCATTTTTCCTTTACAATAAACCTTTGTAGTCTTGTATAAAAATTGTGCAACACTAGTATAACATATAAATTTATATTGTAAGTATTGTAAGTATAAGTATAATATAGTGTACGTACATACCTGATACCCTGATACGTAGTATAACAGATATACTATATAAAAAAAAAAAAAAAAAATTTTTTTTATATTATACTATATACTATACTATGTACTATAAAAAATTTTTAATTATATGCTAATGAATAATTAACGTTATTGGTTAATCTCTTCAGAAAATATATATATAAAGGCACTTGTTTCTTCCTCGCTTTTGTGAACGAGTAATTTTTTTCATTCCTAATCATCTCATAAGAGTAATAAGAAATAATTTTCTTTTAACGAATAAACGATAATACATCTTTTTTTTTTTTTATTAAAAATAATAATAATAACAATACCTTTTCATCTTTATTTAAAGTCTACTACTACAGTATACTGTATTGTATTTCCGTATTTCCTTTCGTTTTATTCTTATGCCATCTTTCGGAAACACTCGTAAAATGTCTGCGACTATTGTCGAACCTAATGTAAGCCTCTCCTCCTGGCCTAAAAAGACTCGCAAACCAATATCAAAACCATGCCCTATCTATACCAAGAATATCATATCTTCAAACGGTAGCTCTCCTAATCGAGAAATTGCATCTCCTTTACCTTCAGGTCATCTTGAGACTGCAACTCGATTTTGGCAATTTAAAGTTGAAGAAGGTCTAATTACTCATGTACGGTATGGTAACATCCGCCCCGATGGTAGTCTCATGGAACGAGCCATACATGTTCAACACCATTCAAGTTACCTCGATGCAAAAAAATTTGTCGAAAATTTAGTAGATGAAAAAATCAAAGCCGGTTATGTTGGTTGGTCGCGTTGGTAATTGAATTGTCTCTCTTTCTTTTACCTTTATATAATCATATATTCTCGATTCGAACCTCCGGTGAACGCGTTCGGCTTTGATAAAAACCTCTCTCACTTTCAATTATCGTTACTTGAAAGTGAATAAAACATTTGCCTCGTTTTATTAAAATGAGGCAACATTAGCTCCCCTTTTTCTTTTTTTCTTTTTTTTTACTTCATTTATTCATGAATGAACAAATCACCATGAATCAATTTTATTATACTGAAGGAGGAACACTTACGGCATCATGAACAACACAACACAACGCAACACAACGCAACACATTATGGTACTAATATATAGAACACAAAAAAAAAAAAAAAAAAAAAAACTAAAAAAATTCTTTTTTTAAAAAAAAAAAAAAAAAAAAAATCAAAAAAAATCAAAAAATCAAAAAAAAATTAAATCGAACATTTATGCTAGCTATTAAAAAAAATCAAATATTTTTTTTTATTAACGTTAAAGTAATCTTTAATTATAATACATGCACTTATATATTCCTCCTATAAACATGAAAATATTAAAACATGAAAACATGAACAGAACATAACATGAAACATGAAAACATGAATCTGTTGGTTCATTACTAATATCGATCGATATATAAATATGTAAAAAACACCTTTTTTTTTTTTATGTATATATGTATTTCTTGTTCTTCTATTATTCTTTATTATTCTTTTTATTATTCTTATTATTGTTTTTTTTTATTTTTTTATTTTTTTATTTTTGTAAATAAATAAAATGAAATGTACGTACGTTCAAAATTTATTTCATTGCATTATATTTTCAAATTCGTGTATAATTCATTTGTCTTTTTTCATTATTATTCATTCCAATAAATTGGTTTGTCCAAAAAGTCTATCGTTATATATTTAAAATTAATTATTGTAATGTTATTGTAATGTAATGTATTGAGTATACGTAGATACACAGAGATAAGTGTGTAATGATCTTAAACGTCGCGTATATCCATTGATACTGGCTTTTTTTTTTTTGATAAATCTAATCTAAAACCGAATAGAACCTAATACGTAGAACGAGAAGGATTGGATTGGAAAATTTAATACGATTGGACTACCTTAATTATATATTCTATGATTATCGAATACAGTTATTTATCAACCAATCAGGAAAATTTTATTCCTCGCGTTATCTAAATTTATAATTACTTTTTATTATGTTATAGATAAGGAGGATTACGCGACCAATTTCGTGATTCGTGTATAAAGTTTGTTCGGAAGCAAAACCAGTTCAGCCCATCTCATGCTAAAAAGAATTTTTTTTCAAAACTGGGGATCTTTACTTTATCAGGTTTTTCATAATAACCAAAAACATGTCGATTCGTTCTTACGTCCAATGATAACCTACTTCTTGGTACTCCGTAACACTAAAACTACTTGATGTAACAACAGTTCCTTACTTTGTGTACTATTTTCTTAACGTTAACGATTGACATTATGCGTACATACATACATGAAAGGATTTTTGCTAATTCATCTAATTCATCTAATTCATCGTGTACAGTACCACCTGACCAAAAAAAAAACCATTCTCTAGAATCATGAGAAACTGAGAAACATGAAAGACACGACAATCATAGTATTCTGCACCATTCAGAACATTCAGAACATTCAGAACATTCAGAACATTCAGAAACTCTCCCATATAACTATTATAATTATCGAAAAAAAAGGTTAATCATCATTACATAATTTTTTATCATTATTCCGTAATTTATTAATACCGTATCAATCGAGTTTAACTGTTTCGCATTTATTTTCAGCATCAATCATTTGTTGAATGCAGCTTTTGCCTCGGAGCTGTATCAATAACGGTAACGGTATTTATCCGATTTAAGAATTAACTTACTGATTAATATATAATAATTATCTCGCTTTTTATGTATGTACGTACGTAAGTAAACCTTGGTTATCTGTTACCTATATATACTGAATATACTGAATATACATAGAATACATACATAGAAAATATACTTGGAATATACTTCGAATATACTTTCGCATATATTTTTATACGTACGTACGTACGTTAGAATTTGAACCAATTTTAATACTCACATGTAACTTCAACAATGTCGTAACTTAAATTAGATTTTACACAGAGGGTTTGTTGAACAAAGTACAGGTAAATATTTTCTCACGAACTTATTCAACTTGGATCTGTCGTTGATGTGACTAATACTGTAATAAATGCTATTAACAATCGGCGTTTTACCAATTGATCAAATGATCATTTTTCTTTTTATTAATCATAAAAAAGAAATTTTTGCTCTTGTATTAATCTCCGCTTGAAAGGCCGACCCTACCAAATAGCGTTATGATGCATGTCCATCATATGTATTTACCCCTTCTTTTATATACAAAGAAAGAAGGTTTCAGACCTGGGGTAAAAAGATCATTATAATTTTCTCTCTATCTTGGCCTTTATTTTTAATTTATAGTATTAATCTACTCGCAATCGTTTCAATCGCCAAGAATAAATTTCTATCTCCCCTATCCTTTATCACTACTTTCACTACTTTATCATTACTTTATCATTACTTTATCATTACTTTATCACTGCATTACTATTCATTCACATTATCGATACTCTTATCAACCAACAATAATATGTATACCGATACTCTAATTTTTTGTAAAATTCTGTAGTCTAACCAAATGTTAATTTTTCAAACTAACCGAATTTATCTTTCTTAGTTCAAAAGAATGACCTTGATTATGGTTTCACCAATGCATCCCATTATTTTTGCTATGTTTGGTCAAGTGGTACAATATTTTTTTTATATTTCTGTATTTTCAATGGATGAATTAACCTACCGATTTTATCAATTTATGTATGCCCAGGGTTTTTGCTTGACATGTTTATTTATACATAAAACATTACAAGCTTTTTTTTTTTTTCAAAATCCTATTCGCAATTTTCAATCTGTAATTTACCATAATTTGCTTGTAATTTATTGCTGTTATATATTGCATAAACATTTTTATCGTTATTTACGTATAAGAAATTTCCTCGCGGATGTATTTTTTATAGTCACCTCTAAAAAAAAATTTACTTTTCTCACATGTTGGATCATTTACCTTTTGAAAAAAAAAAAAAGCCGGCTAATCATTTTCTAGTTGTGATTTACAAAAATACAAAAAAAAAGTGTGGCTAAAGAAAATTGTGAATTTAGTAAAATGGCTTGAAGACGGCGCACACCTTAGATTATTCGTTACATATTGATCATCATATCAATCAACAATTTTGTTTCTTTAAATTATTTATAGGTAAAAAATACATTAATTAATTATTAAAGGATCAACAACCAATTCATATTTGAAAAAAAAATGTTTGTGCTTTATATGTGTTATCTGTTATACGTACGTATATACATTATAATGCTTATTATCTTTGGTTAAAAAATCGTTGCTCATTTATTTACAACTAACGCTAATTCGACTTGGCTCTGATATTTTTTTGTTGGCTTAAACTTTAAAATCATGCTTCTATCTATCTAACTACCTACCTACGTAAGTGCGTACGTATATACGTAAGAGATATTGATAACTGTTAAAGATTTTTTTTCCAATACGTAACAAATTTAAAATTCTTTTTTCAAATTATTAATATTAAAGAAAAAAACTTGAATTTTCTAGATAATTTACGTACGCAAGTGCATACGTACGTACGTAAGTATAGATAAAGCCAACTTACTACATCAATAGGCAACACAAAAAAAAAATAAATTTTTTCAAAACAAAAATAATAATTATTACTGTAAATCGCGAAATAACGCCCCGAACATGATTGCTGATGAAAGCAAACAATATCGATATATTTTTTTGTTAAAGTCTTCATCTAAATTATATGTCTTGAGATAACGCCCCCCTTGGGGCGTTATTTCGCGCAAATGCAGTGTTTATATTGTTATAAGAATTGTACGTAAATATTGTTATAGTGTTATTTTGTATGATTGTCTCGATAATCATTTATTTTCCTGACACTTAATTCTTACTCCGAAGCTGACCAATCCTAGAGTTTAAAATTACGGTAATTTGTCAAATTTTCCGGTATATACGTACGTACGTAGTAAATTACATACTATGTTACTAAAAATGCTAATTTTTTGTCTGAACTATTTTGTCTTTATGCTACGTAGCAAAAAATTAATTGTAATCTAATAACTTGCTACGTACGTACGTACGTACGTATTAAATTTTATACGTAGTAACTTACCTAAAAATAGGTTTCTATAGTAACTTATTATAAAATGTTATTACGTATTAAAAGTTTGATCAATTTAGATTATACGTACAATTAATAATAAATAACTTTTAAATAAACCTGCTACGTATCCAGTTATTTTTGTTTCTTAACTTTATATATAAAATTTTACAAAATAAATTTTTAAAAGCTGTTAATTTAAATTATAAAAACTATTTATTATAAAACGCATCTATGGTAATTTGGCACCTATCATATGTTTTTATTATGTTTGGTATATAAAGTTTTTCACACAAACTTTTCACGTTAGGGTTAATATTTAGAGTTAGAATTAGGGTTTAGAAAAGGGTGTAGAATAATTTTACTTTGAATATTGCGCATTGATTAATTAGCTAATTTTTGAAATTATTTTATAAATATAAAACACCATAGGTGTATTTTAGTAAAAGTTATAAAAATTAATTAATAAATAATTTACTTATTATTTAAAAAATATTATAAAATTTATAGTATATATTGTACAGTATATAACTTATTTTAAGTCTAAATATAAAGTTATTTATTTTTAATAACAAAACTAAACAGTGTTTCATGCACTTTGTGCCTTCTTTAATCAACTAATAAAATTGCATATGTAAATTAATTTTGTATAATAAAAACAATTATGCATCTTATTTTTATATAATAAAAACAAAGAATGTTTAAAAAATTAATTATATTGTATCTCAAAATTTTGATTATAAAATCAC